CAAACAACTTTTGGCTACTATCAATAAGAATTTCTCGACATTGGCTTTCTGCAGACGTTATCTAGACCGCATTGGGGAAACAAAGTATTTGATGGCACTAAAGAATTTGTGTGATGCTGGTATTGTTAAGGTATGTATTTTTCTATTTAAAAAAAAAAAAAAAAAAATTGCTTGGCTTAGACTGCATTTTTTATAAGAAGCTCTGATACTTTCTGCGTATTCAAATTTTGAGGTAGTAGCATTTAATTGAAAATTCACAACGTGGGTCATCTGTTAGCGCTTTTTTGTTAATGTCACGTTCAGGCTTTGAAAAAGAGAGAGTCAATCATACTGACATTGGCGTCTAAAATACTTACGAGCTTTTTTGTTTGGAGGCTTGATTGTCTTACAAGTTTCTTTTTTGGAATGAATATGCCACCAAGTTTAAGAATAACGCCAAAGTTAAGTGAGTTCGTACATGAAATATTTGCTGCTAGGCTACAAATGCTGAGCATCATCATCTCATGTACTGTTCGCACGAAGATAAATAGCCAGTAGTGTAGAGATTGCATGAAAATTCTTTTGAGGCTTACGAATGGATGTGTGCCATTTATAAAGGCTATCCGAATGAATCCCCTATAAATAAGTTTAGCAGTAGAACAGATGCAACTTTAATCATATTACTGTCGATCTTAGTTCATTCCCATATGAGTTTTTATGAACTGAAGACATTTGAAATTTGTTCAAACTTGGCAGCCATGCCCTCCTCTTTGTGATAATAAGGGCAGCTATGTTTCTCAATCCGAGCACACAATTTTGCTTCGCCCTACGTGCAAAGAAGTTGTGTCAAGAGGGGATGACTACTGATGAAGAGAAGTACGGGTGGCACGATTAGAAAATTACAAACATTGGCTGTATAACAGCGATTTAACTATATTAGGAAATCTGTTGAGATATTTAAGCACATTACTTCTTCCCTACACTTCTTACATCCGAGACTCCACAGTTTTGATATATACTCTTACTATATTATATGTGGTATGTATTTAATTGTTTTCATTTTAATTGTAGAAAAAAAAAAGCAGTGAAATAATAAAAGAAAAAGGCGATTTTTTTTTTTTTTTTTTTGATATCGAGATTCCAAGCTTGTGTCTGACTATTCCTCGAGGAAACAGTCCCCGGCCCCTCAGAAACTGTATTCAGTCAAATCGCGGTAGCCACGCAATGACTCCCAGGTTTCTAACACTCGAGTTTGCGATTTTTATTTGGGACCATTAGTTGAACAAATATTTTTATCAGCCTTGATTTTCTACTTGGAGAGGAGAGCAATGAAAATTTATTATGAAAGATTCGTTTTTGTAGGTTTACATAGCATGAAAGATTCATTATATTTCATAGGTAGTTGTGGAGTTTTAGTGGCGTTGTTTCATCAACTAGAGTCTCTACATTTGAATTAGTTGTTGGAATGAGGATATGAGTGTTGGGATGAGATCATCATACAATTGGAAAGATTTTAAAGTATGTTTTTTTGAAGTCCACGTGTGGCTAGAAAAGTGTAGTAAAGACTTCAATTGGCACGCACAATAAGTCCACGTGCGGCCATACGGTTAGCCGGTGTCTAGGCGGACCTAGGCGTTCCTAGGCGGGCTCGATGATAATTTTTTAGTTATTTCTTGTGTCCATAAAAAGGACACGACCAACAAGAAATTGTACACCATGGAGATGAAACAATATAGAGACCCTGCGATTCTGCAGAAAGGCATCATGATCCTCTGCAGAAAACAAAATGATTTGCTTGAGATAAAATTAATAAAGAATCATATCACATAATCCACCTTATATATAATATCTGAATGTGCTCAGCCTAAGTGGCAGACTCACATGCTTCGGGATTCTAGGTGTCAAAATTTCATGCTTTATTATTTGGATTGGATAGATTTTAGTTTAATTTTCATCCAAAAATAATTATGTTCGGATTACCATAAATATATTGATTTATTTATGATCATTTTAAATGTATTAATTGTATTTTAATATAATTTCTTATTATAATTTTTTTTTTTCCAACGACATAAAAGATCTCATTAAAAAAACCAAGAGGCAATGTACAAAGAAAGGCCCGGAACCCGGGAATTAGAGGTTACAACCCCACCGATGCAACCCAGACGAAACACTACTAGCAATACTAGAACAGCAACCACACCGAAAGACTAAAAAAACTACAAACCACACCAAAAAACAACATAAAACTCTCCCAACAGGAGAATGCCCGAGTGTGCTCCTAACAGGAGAATTAAGGTACACTCGGGTCATTTGGAGCCAAACATCTCGAACCTAAAACACAACAACAAAAACAAATACTAACAACACAAATACTGAAATAAAAACATCAAAACAACTACATACTAAACGAGTCCTTCCTCAGCAAACCCAAAGCAAATTCAACCATCAGTGAACGATTAACCCAAAGAAGATATCAAGCCCATGAACCGCTACCGAAACTGCACGAACGCCTATACAGTAGGCGTAACTTTTAAATTGTAAATATATTTTAAAAGTTGATAACTTTTGTATTTCTTATCGGTTTTACATATATAATATATCAAATTAATCATCTTTTGATGAGCTTCGATTTTTTTTTCCAATGACATAAACGATCTCATTAAAAAGCCAAAAGTCAAAGTACAAAAGATAGGCCCGGAACCCGAAAAAAAGAGGTTACAACCCCAATGGTGCAACCTAGACGAAACACTACTAGCAATACTAGAAAAACAACCACACCAAAACACTCAACAACCACAAATCACACCACACAACAACAAAAAACACTCTCAACAGGAGAATGCCCGAGTGTGCTCCCAACAGAAGAATTAAGGTAAACTCGGGACAACAGGAGCCAAACAGCTCAAACCTAAAACACAACAACAAAAACAAACACTAACAACACATAGACCCAACACACAACAAACAACACGAACTAGAGAGCAAAACACATAAGACACAAACACAACAAAACAAAAGAACCGAAACAACTAAAAAATAAAGACAGACATAGCCCTTCCCCAACAGAAAAAACCGAGCCCTGCACGAGGCACCAGCAGAACAAAGGCCAACCCTCCCACGACAAGGTTCATAGGCCAGGACCCCACTCCCAGAACTGCCAAAAGGCCTAGCTGAAGCCGAATCACAAGCCCCGCACCATCACGAGAAAGAGGCCGACCCACAGCCGAACCAAAACAAAAACTAGACCCCCCCACACACCACAAACCCGGACTGCCCCAACACCACTGGAAATAGGCCCGGAGGTGTCGGTCTTCCCCGACCAGCACACCCGAGAATCGGAGAAACGAGGAAATCTGGCCACGCTCAACTACCCAGGCCGACTCACCGCCAACGACGGCAAGCGACCAGGGCCACTTCCAACCCCAATCACACACCACCCTCCAAACACCCACACCACCCGAGCGGCCGGAGAACCTCCCCACGACAAGCAATCAGAGCGGCGCAACCCATCTGAAAAAACCCTCAAGCCTTCGGCGGTTCGAGTCCAGAAGGGACAACACACAATCGGGGGAGAGAAGTGCGGCCATGAGTCATTCGCCGGCAAGAGCACCGGCTATTCGCCGGGGAAGGCAAGAGGGCGCAAAACGGCGGGGAGGTTTGGGCGATTTAGGGCAGAGAGGTCGAGGGCGATTTTTACTTTGGGCGATAACCTATTTCTGAGCTAACTTGATGAGTTTCGATTTGACATCCATATTATATATATAAAATAAATAAATTATATTTATCTTTATAATAATAAAAAGTACTTATTAATTAGAAAAATAAAACTATTTATCAATTAATATATTTATATTTAATGTAGTTATATGCTAGAAGTAAGAAAAACTATTATAATATAACACAAGTCGCACGAGTAACAAGTGTCATACTAAAATATATAATAATATATATTTTTATAGAAAAATATTTGAATTTTCAACTATTTTTCCTCATTAATTTTAAATTTTACGAAAAAATTTAGCAAGCACCCGTGTAATACACAGGTGTTGTACTAGTCTTATCTATATTCGTGGATACTATCCTTTTTTTTTTTAAACAACACCCCACGGGGGCGGGGGTTAAGGCCGAACTTCCAACCTGTATATAAAAAAGCTCTAAATGGGCCGAAAGGTCACAAGTCCAAAGTCTGATATACATCAAGTCAAACGAAAAACCAAAAACAAAAGCAAAAAATGTACAATGCAAAACTGGCAACTGCAACGAAAATACAAAATAATAGATCCTAGTCTGGTGAGAATCCAGACGGGAAGGAGTCTGTATGACAGTGTGGCAGATGTGCCAAAAAATAGGAATAAATACCCAAATCTGAATGATGGATATCCCATCTGGTTCATATTCGTGGATACTATCTTAATAAAAGAGTTTTGATAAGAGCAAAGTTTCTCCAAAAGTTTAAATTAACTTTTATATTTTGCGGCCGACCATTTGACGATCTCTTATTCGATTGGTCTTCAATTGGTGTTTGCTCCTCTCCCAGTTTGGGAGATCGGCTCGAGCATGATGTGATCAGGGTTTTTTACGTGTTCTAGTTTAGCCTTTAAGCCTTCGGCCTCCTTTATCGTACCAAAATAATTAACTTTTGTTGGAAAAATCAGTTATAAAATATGGGTTTGACCCGATTTTGACTGAATTTTTGATGGCTAAATATTTAATTTGTGTTGAATTAAATATTGTAGAAAAATTCTATGTTCCGAGTAGATACTCGTGGTATATTTATTTTCTCAAAACTGATTTTCGGTGAGTGAGAAATAAATTGTTAAAGTTAGCCATAAAAGGGCACGTAAAACGTTGGTTGTGGGATTTGAAGGGTCAAGAGTCAATCCCACATTGGACTCTTAAATGAGTTTAATCCTCTTTATTATAATAAAGAGAGTTGTAGAGGTTACAACAAGCACAAAGCTATGCACCAAGTGTTGGTGTTGTTTTCGGCCACACGCGCGCACGCCGGCCGGCTCGGGGCTCGGGCACGGGCACGGGCCCGGGACCCGGGACCTGAGCCCTGGGCTTTGGTCCTTGGTTCTTGGTTCTTGGCAATTGGACTTTGGGCTGGACTTGGGCGGCCTTGGGCTTGGGCCTTGGGCCCAATCACTATATATCTTTTTGCTGCAAATTTATTTGCAACTTGAGCTGCAGAGAAAAATACACAACATTACATGCATTCTGTATACTCTCAAAGCCTCACGCATCATATCAAAAGTGCTCAGTTCTCGACTTCAGTTCCATTCGCCTGAACTCTGAAGGCTGGTGTGCTACAGCTTCCGAGTGTTTAGCCGTTGTATCTTTGGGGACATTACGCACAGACCCGTCGACACTATACGGGGCGTATTTGTCTTGCGGAAAGATTTCAATCGCCTCGGCTCTAATCTGTCCGCATTCGAGTTGTAATTTTATTTTGTTTTAGCTCTTATTGTACGAAATGTACACTTCTGTCAGTTCATAGGTTCCCGTTGTAATTCAAAACACACTTTGTATAACAATCGCAAGACAAATATTCGACACCTACTGAACTGATGGCATCCACTGGAGAAGGATTGAAAACTCAACCACATGTCAACCCCATTGTTCATCATCCCCAACCTGCTGTTCATGTTCCCACTTCTGAGAAGCCCGAAAAATTCAATGGGCTATATTTCAAGAGGTGGCAACAGAAGATGCACTTCTACCAGACCACTTTGGGTTTGGTGAAGTACCTGAAAGACGACCCTCCTGTCGTGGCTGAAAATGAATCGAATGCTGAGTTGCGAGCTGCATACGATGCTTGGGGGCAAGGTGATTACCTTTGCCGGAACTATGTCCTCAACGGA